CATCCTCAGACGCATCTTTTGCCTGCTGCTGTTGTTGCCGCATAATCTCCTCATAGGCCTCACGATGCCGTTTACGCTTCTCGGACATTTCAGGGCTTTCGTCTGTGTAGGCGTTTTTCATCGACTGGCAGGCTTTCGTTGCGGCATTAACAGACGCATTTGCATAAAAACGCAGTATGGTGGGGATCTTGCTTAGTTCCTCATGCAGCACGCCCCACACACCTAATAAACAAAACGAACGGCGCATGCAGTGGTGTAAAGTAAGCTGCGGCCACGTAGCAAAGATACACGGGCCAAAATAACAGCAAACAACACAAACACACGCACCTCAAGAAAGAAATAAAAGAAAACAAGTACGTCAACTTGCCGTCTCACTGAGAGAAAGGTTGAGAAGCGCGCAAAAAAAAAAAAAAAAAGGAAAAAAAAAACCGCTCAAGAGAACGTCAATAAGAGATAACAGCAGGCGTTCATTCAGCATCATTGCCAGTACAAAACATCAAATTTGTCAAGATACGTTTGCATGGGCCAAAAAAAAAAAAAAAAACCATTGAAACGTATACATATAAACATATACATACGTGTACATGCATACTGGTCTCCTCTTCGAGAGAATACAACGAAAAACCGGAAAGCCAAGGAGAACAAAAGAGATGGAAATTTGCATGCGATGGAAAAAAAAAAAAAAAGAACAACTCACAATTTCCGCTGATTACTTTACAATCAAATACATCCAATTAAATAAAAGCGCACGCTAAATGTACATCATCTTTCTTTTTTTTTTTTTTTCTCATCATAAATAAATATATATTTTTACATATGTTTTTGTTATTTGACTGTCGGGAGAAAAAAAAGCGGCTCTCACTCCTTCAAAGTGGAAAAGAGTGACGCCCACACGAACACAAGAGGCAGCAGTGACAGGGTAAACGCATAAAAACCAAAAAGATAGAAGGTAAAATAGAACGAAGAAGACAGTAAGACAAAACAAAAAAAAAAAAGGAAAATACACACCCCCGCACACACGATAAAATGTTTTCATGAGCCAAAAAACAACAGCCAAGACGGAAACAAACAAAATCTGCGATCACGAGTTTGCTTCAAAGACGAATCGTTGTTGTTTGAGAAACGGTGCGTCTTCCCCTGGAAAAAGCTTACATCTGTGATTGGGGAGGGGCAGGGAGTGTGTTTACATCGTGGCAGTGATGCTCAAGCACGTGTTGCATGATCGAAACCCGCGGCGGCACACGGGGCGGAGGGTGGGGCCTGGATCCTATAGCAAATCGAATAGCTTCAGCGTTATCCTGGGCAGATGACGCGTTGGCACCATCACCGCCACCACCATCACCTCCTTCCGCACTATAGGCGCGAGTATCCGCACCTCGTTGCGCCAATTTGCCGCCCCAACGGCCAAAACCCACAACCGTGGCAGTGCCGGGCGGCTCCAAAGCTGATGGGTGGCTTTGTCGCAGATAGCTCAATACATGGCAGGTTTCAGTCAAGGTCTGCGCAAAATTGGAGTTGTCCTCCTTTTTTTTCGTATTTATGCCGGGCAGCGCGATGCTTCCGCCTTGAAAATTCGGTGTTGTAATATCCGGTTGCATGCGATTGGCGTTGCCGTCACATATTGCAGGCCGTTTTTTTTGAACTGATGGACGCGAAGCTATTTCTGCAGCGTACTCCTCTGGCACAGGTGTACGACTATCAAAAAATGGGTACGGAGAAAATAACTTCTCCATATCTCTTCTTCTTGCTGCCCGGCGCTCCTTCTTATCCAATTCCGTCATGTATGTGTTGTAGCGACGCACCATTTCGTTGATTGCGTCTGCAATGGATGCAGAACAGGGACGTAAATTAAATTTAATATCTCCCTCTTCGTACAGTTTCTCTAGAAGTGCACGCACCGCCGCCTCCGTTGCACTCCGCTCCGCAACCGCCCGTGCTTCCTCTGTATTGCCTTTTATAAAACTTTCATGCTCATCCAGTGCGCTGATCAGCAAAGCGGGTACATCGTCGCTATTCAGGGAAACGAAGTGCAGAAGACGAAGAAGAGTGTCACGATCACATGCCTCCAGTGCGGTCTGATAAATCTTTGGCAGGCCACTGTGTGCCAGTGTGGATCGCTCTTCGTCACCCTCGCCGCAACGCTCTTTCCACAACTGCAAAAGTCGAAGACGTACATCGCGAAGCAGTTTTCCCTGTTCCACAATTACCGTCTCCATCTTGGACATGTAGCGCTGAATGGTACTTTCCTTGTTGAGTAGCAGCTGCGCATGGTCATGGAAGGCGTTATTTTCAATGCACACTTCCGTACTCCGTTGAATGAGATCGCTAAGATTGTCAAGTACATCCTTTTCCAAGGCATCCATCCGCCGGCGAAGTTCCATACCAAATTCTCTGCAAACTTGAATCGCGCTTTCCACCTCCACATGATGCTTTGCGGTGGTCTCTCGAAGAAAATCATCCGCCACCTTCATACGAGTTGCCTGCTCATTTATAACACCTTGCATCAACTCCATTTTTTGTCGTCGCTGCTCAACCAGGCGTTTTACCCGTTGAATAAGCAATGAAAATGAAGATGTAAGCATTGCCGTATGCTTCTCCACCTCATCTGTCTGCTCCACAGTAAGAATAAAATTCTTCTCTGTTAGGGAAACAGTACCATCCAATTGCTGCGCGAGTTCCAGAAAAAACTGGCCTATTCTCGCAATTTCATCTTCCTGCTCCGCATCCTTCCTTTTCACAGGTACGTAGGATTCCGTCAGGTAGGAAGAAGGATCTCTTGCGCATGACAATATTTCTTCCTCATTTGTGATGTTTGGTGTCGTACGCGGGACGTCAAGATCAAGGATTTGCTCTTCTCTTAGGAGATCCACGCCGGTGGCACGTGCCTTTTGAAGAAAATGAGAGTTGCATTTAATTAGCCTTTTCAGGGCATTTTCCGCATGTTTCATTGCAGTATCACACTCACGACGCACCCTGCACAATTCTTCTTGAGTTTGTAAAATGTTTCTTCTCTGTGGCTCAAAGGAGTCAATCGCAATTTCCATCATCATTTCCTTCCAGCCAGCTTCATATTCCACTTCAATAGCTGCACGGAACTTCTCTTCCGTATTCATCAGTGCTTGCAAATTTCTTTTAAATTTTTTCTTCCCCGTGTCAATTGATCGTCGCTGCCGTGCTGAGGATCCACGACGATCCTTTCCTAACGTCCTCTCTCTTCCTCTGCTCCCTGATGAAGCTCTCGTTTTTCCAGCCGGCTTGGATGGAGATCGTCTGCCCTTCCTCGCCCCTGTGCTGGATGCCGACTTGTCGCCTTCCTTTTGCGAGGAGCTGAGGCGCGTCAACGAGGCGAGGCGATTGAGCCCCGAGGCGTGTCTGGCGGGAGAAGCAGCGGCCGCACTAACAGGGGGAGTGGTCACGGGGCTCCTTGTGGACGGCCGCTTTACCGGTGACGTGCCCTCCTTGCCTCTCGCCGTGCCTTTTTTTCCCGTCGACTGCCTCACCTCCGCACTGCTGCGTCCCCCCTTCGCAGCTGTGGCGCCTCGCACGGCAGAGTTGGATGCCGACGGGACGCGTGACGCCGTCGACTCGGACTCGTCGTAGGAATTGGGCAGAATAACCACCCCCACCTGACGGCGCAACGAAGGCCTTGACGTTGCGCGAGAAATCGATTCCGAAACGGCGTCAATAACTCCCGTCGTTGTGGGCATCGCTGTGTGCTCCGGCGGGAGCGGACTGATCGGGGCGGTGGGGATATTTGTCGACTCCTCCATCTTCCAACGCGGTCACGGTTACTGTTCGCTCTGCCTCTCGCCAGTACCGCACACATTGGCACGCCGCGGCAAAACAACAAAAAAGAAAAGAAAAAAAAGGAAGGGAATACAGATTAAAAGAGGGTGTCGTTATTGGCAAGAACAACACAGTGCAAAAAGAACAAAAAAACAACGATAAAGGAAAATACACGCAACAGAAAAAGAAATATAAGAGGCAATCCTCTAGACAAAAAGAAAAAGAAAGAAAGAAAGGGAAAATAAAATCAAAAAAAAAAAAAAAAGAGACAACATAAACGCAAGAAACGCGACTGCCGCCATAGCGCCACAGATCACAAGGACACACCCGCAAACACACAGAGAGAAGGAGAAAGTGAGAGAGAAACCACAAAAGGCAAGAAAAAAAAATCATGAAAAGCCAATAAATGCAGCAGCACAAATTTGTTGGCATAAATATTTCCAATTGTCATTTCCTTAAATATATATATATATATATATATAAAGTTTTTCCTGTTTTTTTTTTTTTTTTCCCTCCCCCTTTCCTTCTCTCCTCTCCTGCTGGTACGTTTGCTTCTACACATATGCTTACATACATATGGGGTGATTGACATACCCGCATAAATACATGTATAAATGGAATGTACGCTTGTATATAACAGTGTCACGTCGGGGAAGATGGACGAAGAAACAAACATATCAAGATTCAAAAAAAAAAAAAAAAAAAAAAAATCTCGGTGTAAAAACAGATCCGTACAGGTTAAGAAAAAACTAAACAAACAACCAAACACCATAAAGAAACATAAAACACACACGCATATATAAGAAAAAAGAGGAATAAAAAGGAAAAAAAACAAAAACAAAACAAAACAAGATGGGGAGAAATATAAGTATATATTTAGCAAACTCCATCCATATCGTCTTCGTTCATGTACATTTTCTTTTCCCTCACACCCTACGCTTTCTTTGCAATTTAGCTTTCACATTTACATTCTACGTTCCCAGCCATTGGCTCTGCCATTCCCCCTCATATTCTCTGCCCCCACCCCCACCCCTCTGTGCGTGTATGGCAAGTGAAAAAGCAACGCCTCCCATATCGCTGCTAGTGCGTAAAGAAATTCCCTTTCCCTTCATGCACTCTTAGCGGCAGGCAGACACACATACACATACAAAAACAAAAGGGGCGCATAAAACCCCAAACACAGAGAAAAACAAATCCCCCTTTCCAATACACTTCTCTCACATAAACGAAGAAGTAAAATCCCCGTGCCCCCTTCCCCCAACCATTTCTCCCCAGTCTTTCGTGCAGTAGAGGCAACAACAACAACAAAAAAAAAATGCATTTATTTTATCTCCTCCCTCTTTCCTTTATCCCGCATGTTCCCTCGTTTCTTCCTCTATGGAAATAAGAAGGGAGACGTGGTGTCGTTCTTTGGCATCCGTTCATCCACATTGAAATTCAAAAGGGATGGAGGCGTTTAAATTAGATGCGGTGCCGCCGACAACATGACATGCTTCGGTGTGTAGAGAAACACGCACAGAGCCACAGTGCTCAAGCAGGCAAAAAGGAAGAAAAAAAAAAAGCATTCGCGCGACCCTGTTTCCCTTTTCCACCCTCTTTTTTCTTACTTTTCTTTGCTCCCTGCCCCATCACATTTACCCTCACTCAGCTGCACGCTCTGTTACTCCCTTCACTCCTGCCCGACTGCTCTGTGCCTCCCTGTGCGTGATGGATAAGATAGACATTCACTTTCTCTTTCGCCGCACATCATATGAGTATCCAGCTCCGGCATCCAACACGCCGTTGCACCCCCATTGAAAAGGCATACACATAAATACATGCGCAGATACATACGGCAACTGAATAACCGCAGATGCGTAAAACAAACAAACACCACCACCACCACTACTACTACCACTACCACCAAAAAAAAAAAAAAGTAAATAAATAAAAAAAAGAAATCATCTGCATTTCTTTATCCGCAACAGCGTTGGGCCAATTCCGTTTTGTTGTTGTTGTTTTTGTTGTGTTGCGTTCAACCTGGGGGGGACCTAAATAATACATATCCGTATCCTTCTATACCAATATTCCTCAGTTTACTTTTACATTCTTTTTTCCCTTTTTTTCTTATTTTATTTTTCCTTGAGGTGCAATCCATACGTTTTTTTAATTTGATTTTCTTTTTTCATCCCGTACGCACTGTTTTTAGTACTCCCCTCCATCGGCTATGTGACAGTAAATGCGTGGCACACGCTTCTTGCGTGACGCCGACTTTTTATTGTCAACGTCCTCCTTCCGTGTGGTGCTCCTTTCCGCCATGGAGAGCAAATCCACCGGTTCCAATTCGTCGTGTTCCACCAATACCGTCACACGTGTCGTAAAACGCGGCATTGGTGGTACACGATGACCCAACAACTCCACCCCCATTTTGGCGGAATCGGCCGTTTTTTTTGCCTCTGAGTCAGTCCGTTTTGATCTTTTCGTCTTTCGTGCCGTGGTCACTGCAGTACTGCTGCAGAAGGAGGAGGATGAGTAGGGAGCTCCGGAGCTAAAGAACGTTTCCTCCCCACAACGCGACCCAAGGGCCGGTTCACGACGTGGTATGCAACTCGCCACCACAGACAAGAGCGGCTTGAGCGCAAACGGCTTTGAAAGCAAAGTGGCTCCGCTTTCATCATCTAAAGTTTCATTGCCATCAAAGATGTCTTCTTCTCTATGGTCATCTGCATTCATATCATTATTATTTAGACCCCGATTCATTGTTGCAAGCACATCAGCGACTGTCTTGCCACATCCACTACCTTGCACCACTGTCAGATCGGCCTTGGGTGGATCATGAAATCGGACTCGGGTGATGGCGTGGTAATCGTCCGGGACCTTAAATCTTTCCTGGGACCCACGTGCCCTTTCCAGCGCCTTCATCTGCCACTCATGCAGCGCCAAAATGCGCTCAATGGGTGTCAACGATGTTTTGTTTACAGCACCCGACTTTTTTTCTTTTCTCAAGACCTTTCGACGACGCGCACCTCCTGTGGTCGCGGTCTTCGTTGGCTCATCCGCCGTACTGTTTAACAGCAAGTCGGGTGGTGGCACCAACTGGTCCATGTCCCGAACATGAATACACAGTGTGTGATTCGCCCGCTCCTCGGAAAGAACGCGCTCCGCAATCTCACTCCTTGCCACTGCCTCTTTACTTTGACCTGTATATCCGTCATCCCCATGCATAACGGTGCCCACCCCACCCGCTCTGTGGTCTGACGCCGAGGGTGGAAGCACCGCTTGATCCACCTCCCTGAGGTAGTTGTCAATGGAACGCTGATTCTGAGGCAGGGCACAAAATATAGATGCTACAGAGTCCGACAACATGAACAGTTTCGTGATGCTTGCACGCTCTACCACCACATCTTCTTCATCAGGCTCCACAGAAACAACACCATCGGTTGCCAGACGGTTCATGTGTGTTGGCTCCTTTTTACTTAATCGCATCGTGTCGTTCACCTTCTCCGGTGATGCAGCGCAATCCTCTGAATTTTGCATGGATTTGCGTCGCTGCGGCACTCTTGGTTTTTTCATCGTCGCTGCGCTTCCCTTCCCTGACGGCGTGGCGGACGAAGGAAATGAAGCTCTTCCGTCATCATTAGTATTTCTATTATTGATGGAGGCTGAGGCATCCACGGAGGCGGTGGGGAGAGAGACGCCAGTGGAGGGAGAAGAAACAGCGGAGGCGGTGGTTTGATGTTCCTTTGCCGTTGCTTTACCCGCCGCATCATTTCCCCCTCCTGCTCCCTCGGGGGCTCCTACGAATTCCCCACTGGTGCCCGTCGTGGCATTGGTGACTGGTGACGAGGGGGATGACGATGCACCTGCCGTTGTATTGATGGAGGCACCAGCACCAAGTTTCTTTGACCCGCCCGACTTCCTCCCAAGGAATCTCGACGAGTGGAAGTACGCAGACCGCCATGTCGCCAGCGCCCCGGTCGCCGGGGCACTGCCTCGCCACGCGGTGATAATGGCGGCCGTTGGCGACGTTGCCGCAGCGCTTACACAACGCCGCATGCAATTGGGGAATTGAGGTGATGTGCGTAAAACAGGGCAAGTGGCAACTCAATCACGTGCAGTATGATGACAAGAAGAGGGCTCTACTACTGCTGTTATCGCGTGCGTGTGTCTGTTTGTGTTTCCTCCTCCTCCTCCTCCAATTGGATGAGCCTGCGGCAGACAACAATACGAAAATCGCCAACAAACAAAAACGTCAAAGTAAGCGTGTGGAAAAACACAAAAATGCACAACTTCTACCACAAAACAAAGACAACAAAAATAAATCAAACAACAACAACAACAAAAGCTTTTCTATGCGGTGTATATAAATAATGATAATAAATGGCAACGACAGCCGTAACAAAAAAAAAAAAAAAAGAAAAGGTTGCAGGGGTAAGATGAAAGCAATCTGATTTCCCTTCCCTCTCACTTTATGTATATGAATATATGATTCTGTATGTAGGTGTTTATGTATGTATATACGATTGTGTATGTACAACTGTTGATACTGTGTTTGTGTGAGTTTGAGTCTTGTCTTTCTTTGATTGGGGTGGAATAAATGTGCAAAGTCAAATATATAATATAATATAATATAATATTGCTTCCTGCTTTTGTTGGGCCTTCAAAGCTTTCTTCTCGCTGCCACACACACACACACACTCTCTTTTTCTCTCTTTCGTCCCCCTTCACACTAAAACTGAATTTAGCCTTCCCCCTTTTTTCTTTGTGTATATACGCGTGTGTGTCTTTGCTTGAGAATTGGGTAAACTGAGGGTTTTTTTTTTTCTTTTTTAATGTGAAGTTGCTACCTTCTCTGCAGCGCGTACGACACCTGCATGAAGAAATGAACAGCGAGCAAAAGAAAAGAAAAGAAACGCAGCTGTGAATTGTCGCAGGACCCCACAAAAGTAGCGGTGGGAAAAAGAGATGACTCAAAGCGACATGCGCTTGCCTGCCATTCCCGAGGAGGCGCACCTCAGCACACACACACACACATATATATATATGCACACAAAGGCGGCCAAGCGGAAGGGTGCCGTGATGTCAGCATCACAAGAGAAAAAGCAACAACTGAGAATCACCTCCAAAAAGAATGCACAGCATGAATAAATCGGGACTGCGGAGAAGCCACAAGGAAAAAAAAGAAACAACAAAAACAAAAAGGGCATCAAAGTCTCCATCCAGCCGCCCATGCCAGTACATTAGCTGCGTGAGAAACGTGAAGTTATTTATGGTCTAAAAAAGGGAGAAACGCGCCCCTCCGTTTTTTTTTTTTTTTTTTTTTGAGTCGATTCTGCCGTTAAACCACTCAGGCTCGCTTTTGGTGGAGGTTCCACACCTCACGGCAAGATGCGACTGTTGTCAGCCGATGGAGAGATGTCTTCCTCAACATCCGATGGCATCATAATGATAGTCATCGCTTCTTCTTTACTTCCCCTCCCCGCCTGCGGGCAATTCAAATTTCTGCTTTTGCTTCCACTGGCATTGAACAGACGCGAATGAACCATCGACTGCCACTGCGGTGAGTCAATACCGCGTAACAAGACTCTTTCCGCCCGCAGTAACGCCAAGGGATCTCTGCGAGGTGGGCTGAAGCGCCGTTCCGCAAACGATACGGAAAGGCCCTGAATATTTGCTCCGCGGCGAGATGGAGAGCTGCTCGTCGACATGTTGGCTCGAGGAAAACTGCGATTGACGCCAATATATGCGTTTGATTTAGAAGAAGAAAAAATTCCAATGGGACGCCGGTGCCGCAACAAATGGGTCTTGCCTTTCCATGTAAACCACACCCTTGCCAGCAGCTGCTTCTCGCGCAACGTCTTCGCCCGGAAGTTCAGTGCAGCCTTGCCCATGGCGTATCGATCATGTTCACGCCGCATACAACGCCATCGCCACAGGCGCCATGTGCCAAAGAGCAAAAACCGCTGATGCATAAATACAGCCAATGCAGCACGATCCCGCTCTAGCCGTCTATGAAAAATTACTCGTTGGACCCAACGGTTCCATATCATGTGATATGTACGTCGCAACCGGCAGAAAACTAGCTGTTGATGAAGTTGCTTCAAGTGTGTCTTCCTCTTCCAATGCATGAACGTGCACACGATGAGACGCTGTTGCTTCATCTCAAGAAATGCCCTCAAGCGATCACCTCCGCTTGTTCTTCGCACCCAACGAAGACGCCACGTTAATAGGGCCTGGCAAAGAAATCGCCGCCCCAATGTCCGCGTAAATTGCACAAATAAACGAAACAGCCGACAAGTTTTGCACCATTTCTTCAAACAACGCTGCTGTAGAGCTCGCCGTGCATATGCCTTGGCAATTTCGTTAAGCTGAAAAATTTCCAATCGACGTCGAAAACAATTTTTCATGTGAAGAAATGTCCGCCGCATGAACATGCGATCCGCTATGCGAAAATGGTAAGAATCGCGCCATTGTTCCAGACAACGTGCGGCAAGAGCAGGCTCTGCAATCCGCGGAAAAATATTCCCTTGCGCATGAATCATAAAGATGTGGGCCCGACGCCACATTCCAAAGAAACGGCGTCCACATGTGTGTGTACGAAACCGCCTCACCAAGAAGGATTTCTTCCAGCACGTCCAAGTTTCTTGCATGAGACGCTCCTTTTTCCTCTCCATGAGGCTCTGACACTGCTCTTCCGTGCATTGTTGCCTTTTGGCAATGCGATGACGCTCCATTTTGTGCTTCCAGCGTCCCCAACAAAGCTGTTTTCTTCGCCACATGCACTGGGCAGAAATACGTTGGAGGCCACGACGCTCCACGAGGCGGACGTCGTGCCAGGTCTGAAAGGCCTGGCGTTTAAGCCGCGCCGAAGCCAACTTGTCACACTCCGAAAGTAACGACCTAATTAATTTAACATTACAAGGGTCATTAGTAATCGTTGCAGCAAACATATTTACTTTGCTTTCAGGAGCCTCTGTCAATCCTGCTGCTGCTTGCGACGATGTAATTTCTTTTTCTAAAAATTTCACAGAATTTTTGAACATGGACTTATTGCTGTTGTCACCGCTCTTTTTGTTACTGTTTATATGACCACATGTTGGGTCTTGTTTCAATTCTGCATCCTGCGGTCGCGGAGGCGTGGGCCATTCTGCCTGTTCACTAGGGACCGTGCTTGGGGTCTGTGCGGTCATTTCTATAGGGGGGAAGGAGGTGTCGGCGGCAAGACGTCGCAACAAGTACATGCCATGACGTTGCTGCCAGCGCAGGAATGCCATCCGTAGAAGTGACGTACGCCGCCACATCTGGGCGTGTTGTTCCATTGAAAGAGTCAATAACGCGATCGGCAAATTCTCTCGGAACCACGGATGGGGGCAGCCGCAGTCCACTTCGGCCGACGTTCCACCCCTCTCCAGCTCGGGATACACCTGAAGTAGAAGCATCAGAGGAGCGGCCAAGGACCCGGAGGCAGAGGGAGTGGACGGGTACTCGACGGGGATGACTGAAAAGGCACGCTGAAGCAAGGGATGAATTGAATCCTCGTTGCCCTTCCATTTCCGCGTAATAAATTCTGTCAAGGCTGCAAGAATGCTTGAACGCAAGGAAGACTCTTGCAGAATAGCTCCAACGGCAGCGGCAAATTCTCCATGATAATGCCGGCAGGCCCTGTAAGAATGTTTTTCACAACAAAGGAGATGCACCGCCGTCAAAAGTACATGCTTGCCCATGCCTTCAATAAGAGATGCCGCTTCGGACGCTGTGACATAAGAACTCGCCATGGCAATTAGACGTCTATTCGCAGGGATGCCGTTGTCGGCGACAACACAAAAAGCAATAATTGTCCGACAGGCCTGCGTGAGAATCGCCTGCAGCAACACCATGCAACCACCACGGTACATGTTGTCCTTATTCATCCTCCTCGCTCCCCAATGGCCATGAACAATGAAACAAACGCTTCACCTTCCTTCCTTCCTTGTGTCCTTCTCTTGTCTGCCCTCCACAACCCCTGCGGCCCCCCTCAAGAAAAACTAAAACAACAACAACAACAAACAACCCTGTCGGACGGCAAACATGTAAATCGTATTCACAGCAAACAACCCCCACAGAAACCGCCACCGTCACAAACACAAACACACACAAAAGGAGGGTGGAAACGGGCGTGGCACTGAATGAGCGTTCATATTGTACGGAACACGCACCCCGCCCACAGCACCAAGAGAAAACAACAACACCATAAAGAAAAGCAAAAACAATTCGGCCTAATTGCAACAAATGAAACACTCAAAAAAAAAGAAAAAAAAGCACCACACACGCACACACGGGGCAGGAAAGAAGGTGTGAAGAAAAACAAAATCAAAAGCGAAACAAACGTGGGATAGAGGAAAGCTGCGGGCTAAAATAAAAGTAAACAAAATTGGACCTCCAGAGAAACACCACATTGAAAAGACGACGGATGGAGTGTGAAGAGGCAAACCAAGCAAAATGGCAACCCTCACACAACTCCTCCCCCTTCCAAAACCTCCTCTCTCTCTCTCTCTCTCTCTTTTTTTTTTTTTTTTTTTTTTTTACACGACCCTCCTCTTTCAATGACAAAAATAAAAAAAACGAATGCAGCCAAGATATTTAATATTTCATCTCCACCGCACTCATGTCACAAATATACGCCTCAGTGATGAAGAAGAAAACTCCTCCTTTGTGCGTGGACACACCACGATGTTCTGGGAGCGATCACCCTCACTGGTTTTCTTCATACAACACTGCATCACGGCCAGTTTAGACAGGACCGTGCCGTTGGGAAGTGCAATCGGGTAGTTTCCACCGGTCCCACCATCAAGACACTCCTTTGTCAAGTAGCAGTAAAAACGTGTGGAACGTCGAATGAAGAGTACATCATTGCTCCAACGATCCTCCGCTTCAAGAAGCTCTGCTGCTGTCAGTGGCATTGTACTGACCTCTTCATTTTTGGAGCCCAAAATTGAGGTACTACTCAGCGTCTCCTCCACCAAAGTCATCATAGACTGATCAAACGCAAAAGATCCCGATTGTGTGTTTAGGTGACTTTCCGGAATGGGTTGGTTAAGTAGGGACGCAGAGGCAAGTCGCTCCATTACCATGCGGTCAAAGTACTCATCCTTCAAAAATATAGAAGTGGCCACAACGCGAGTCACAAGATCCGGCAACGTGTGTTTCCAGCCATTTGTCATTTCATCACTCTCTTTTTGTTTACCATGAATCCTTCCAAGAGCTTCACTTACAGAGAGAAGTTGGGATCCCAATAGAATTGCTACTTTATGAAATGACACAGCAAGCTTGTGGTAGCCTTCCACTGACATCATGCAAACCACAAGACGCACTGACTCTTCGTTCTTCTTTGTGAGAACACTTCTTGCTTTTGGCGACGCCGAACAACGCTCGTCACCTCCACTCGTAAAAGATGTCTCTGCGGTTATTGCTGAAGAGTTATAAGACACATTCTGCGGCGTTACAGCGTTGATAATAGCCTGTACAAAAGCTGGTCTTCGTGTCGCGTGTGGCAGAAGATGAGTTGCAATATATTGAAACACAACATGGTCGGCGGTTTGTCCATCTCGAAAGATTTGTAGCAGTCGTGTGGCGTGTAGTTCTACCAAAAGATCATACAACATTTCCAAAATTTTCTTCTGTCGCTTGTCGTCAATTCGTTCCACGGCGGGTAAAAGCCGTTCCTCACAGTATGCAATTGCTTCTGTAACGGAATGCCTTGCTTCAATACACTGGATGGCAATGTGCTCCGGCGCTACCGTGGTGGAGGGTTGCCCCCGCTCCTCTGGATGCGAAACCGTAAAGTCCGCTGTGAGAAAGTTAGATGTGGGCAAAGAATCTGACTTCCTTCCCTGATTCTCGAATGAATTATTGCTATTGTTACTATTGTTCTTGTTTCCGCTCATACTGCCACCTTGAATGGGCGGTAGTGGGGGGAGTGCAAGTGACATCAGCGTTGGAAACCAAAACAAAGGTAGTCCATATGCGTCCGCGACGTGACGCGCCAGCTGATACCGCTCCGTGGCGATGAGGTAGTCCACCATCTCCATGCGCAGACGCAACATCCCACGTATTATGTAATAATTTTCCCTGTTCAAAATATGCGGCACCTTTGGTGAGCAGACATAACGAAATGCATCATTTGTGGCATCATCGTCCTTCTTGTGGCCGTTGGGCCGAAGACTACTTTCATGCTCTTCCTTAATCTCTAGAAGAGGCGTCATGCGCTGCAGACGAGGCAGCTCGCACTCTAAGAGAAACGATGCTCGATCAAAAAATACACTGTACTTCCGAGAAACATTAAGCACACGCAGGGCAATTTTATCCAGCGATCCCGCGGCTGCGGTAGGATTTGGATTTGCCTGTTCACGCTTCACAAGAGTCTCCAATGCCGCTTTCACTGGCTGCAGTTCTCTGGAAAGCTTCTGCAGCTGGCGAAATGTCTCGATGGTGTCTTGTGTGGCGGGGTTCATTTTATTTTTTTTTCTTTTTCTTTTTCTTTTTATTTTGTTTTTCTTTTTCTTTTCAGTGATGTGTTGGGGGGAAAAAAAAGCCTAAGAAGCAACAACACACGGCAAACTGTGACGGTCCTCCCTGCTTCCGTGCAGGTACGACCTTCTAGTGGGATCACGTGCGGATCTGTAAGCGCAATCCCACCCAAGGAAGAGAAAAAGAAAAAAAAGAAAAAAATAATAATTAAGAAATATGCATAAAGCAAAGTGCATTAAACCCAACTTCTTGTGAACATCTGGCGGTCACACAAAGGGAAAAGACAGATAATATTTATAATGGAAAAAAAAATAATAATAATAATAATAAATAAATAATAATGATGATAAATGTGAGGGAAGGGAAGCAAATACCGAGCCGTCCACAGTGGCCATAGCACCACGCCTGAAAAGAGTAAGAGAAGTGGGCTACATGACAAACAAGAACTAAAGGAGATGCATACAACGGGCCCTTCAAAAAAAAAAAAAAAAAAAACAGCCTTAAAATAATTATTCGTGTCAATAGACTTATATTTTTAATTCATGCCTTCCCACCACCCACCCAACATCCTTCTTCTCTCAACTCCTCCTCCTCTTCTCAATTGCCCGCCTCGGAGGCCTCCTCTCTCTCTCTCCCTCCCCCTTTTTCTTTTGATAATTTCTCATCTCTATCCTTTCTTCTATTCCCCTTCTCGATACAAAGTTTTTTTTTTCCTTTTTCCGCCTCCCAACCACCACTCGCCTTTTCAGCTGATTCCTCTTTTTTCTTCTCGTTTAGGTACGTGAGGCGAGACGCAAAGCGTTGGAGATCGACACCCTCAACTGACGCAGGAGGGACTCCATGATCAGGACGTCATTCCGCCCAGGATACACACTCCGGACTTCATCAATCAGTGCCACCTCATTTCGACGTGTAGTTTCCGTCAACGCACCGATAGAGGCGTCACCAGCAGCCGGGGGGAGTGTGACTGCGTCGAATGCCAGGGAAGCGGCATCCACCGTCGTACCGAGTTGCATTGCTCCACTACCAGCAGCCGGAAGAGTGACCGTAGAAAGCTGGTTTGTGAAGCTCTGCTCCATTGCACTATCTGTTTTCTGCTTCAGACTCTGTCGCATTGGGGTGTCTATGAGATGTTGGTGATAAATGTTTGTGCGGCAACTAGTATCATCCTGCGGGGGTGCTGAGATTGCCGGGAATACGGATTGATTGCTTACCGATGGCGCTGCCACACTCCACCGATCGCCACCCACTCGAGTGACCCGCAGTCCTCGGAGGTAGTCGGAGTGGAAGGCCCTCCACAAATTCACAACCCGTTGAGCCTCTTCCAACGCGTGCACAATGGAGCCCCACTGACTCTTCGCGTCTTTTACGTATGCCGCCCGATCCAATAACAGAAAGGCATGCAAAAAAAGAACGAGGGAATGAAGGGCGACAAGATGTGGTATAAAATCTACCGCCTGTACCACTTCACCATGATGGAATTTCTCCATAATGACAACCACCTGCTCAGTGATGGTGACCATCAGAACCCGGTTCCGTGCCTCATCGCAGAGACGCGGTGGATGCTCTTCTACAACTGCACCTTCAGCATTCATAACAGCAGTTCCATTTTCTCCCCACGTGGCAAAGAGTGCCCCCAAGTTTTCCGCTCTCAACAAAAATTGCAAAATGTTTTGCACAGCGACGTATATCTGTTGGCGTTGAGTTGGCGAAGGCAGAGAGCCCGTCTGCTTGACAGTGAGTTGCGATGACACCGACACGGGTGCTGTCGTGTTGCCAGTGATAAAAATAGGGCTTTCGGTGAACTCACTTTTCGTGAGAACGGCAAGAAGATCGGGGAGAGCAAACAAGTGGGCCAATGCACGACACTCATCCACGAGTGGCGAGCAGGACAGACGGTAAAGCATCCCGCCAATCTCAGAAAAGAGGTCCAGCGTCAGCAAGTCAACGTGTCGCCGGTGAAAGTCCAAATAGGGCGAGCTCAACACGCTCTGAAACAGCAGTTGATTGGAGCGCACAAATTCGGCAACCGGCAGAAGAGCGGCCTCTGAGTTGTCCAGTGCGGACAAAACAACATTAAACCAACGTGTCGCAAGCAAAAGAACACTTTTAACGACTTCCCTATACGCGTCAATGTTTTCCAGGCCATACGCAGCGGCATCATTTTCACAGGTCGTGTGCCCCAATAAAACCCGTGCACTCATTTTCCAGGCCCGCATGGCGGTACAGTACGATAGGGCATTGATTTGAGTCAGTCGAATGGCATGTTTCTGAGAAATTATCATCAATACGTCAAATACGATTTGCGCAAGCCACAAAATAGAAGCAGCTTCTGTCCCTCCATGCGCAAAGAGAGCGGAAATAGATTCATCGATTGTCTGAAATGCACTTATTATACATGTCATCAACTGTGGACTCGTACCATCGCTAGTAGACGATATACACAGCATCTCACAGAGCTGTGGCGAAAGGTGCAATAATTGACCAAGAAGGGCCAAGGCCGACAATTTATTTCCACCGTAAGAAGAGGTGGTTATATCTTGCACCAGCACATCAAATAGCGCAGTGTAATGGCGTTGAAGTGTGATATCATCTGGTGAAACGCCGGGAGTTCCAAGAAAAGCCATCATAGCGCCATAAAAATGCTGCCGCGCCATGGTTACACGTGAACCCCACTGCACAGTTGTCACCAAAAGGGATTTCAGCAATTGTAAATTCTCCAGGCTAATCAAAGAGCGATCAAACATTTCGGTAGCTTCTTGCTTGCTCTCAATTATAGCACCAGTGAGATCTCTCTTAACAGCGCGTGAAAGTCTGTTAAAGTTCTCCACAAGGCTACTCTTTGCCGTTTGTGAAACTGCTGATGTTTGTAAAACATCCGTTGTATCCGGTCGTGCACGTCGCGAGAAACTAACATTTTCGTCCATGATGGTTTCATCTCCAAACCTTGACCCATACGCCAGAATTGTCCCTTGTGCACCGTTTTTAGAGGGAAAGCCTTGAGGCCCGTCATGAGTTACCGCTGCCTTTCGTTTCAGCTGCGCCATGAGCGTTGAAAGAGTTTGACTGAGCGGATACACAATTTGTTCCTGAGCCGCCACCGTCAGGGACGATGTCAGTTGAACTCCTTCCAACACACACTGTGCCAAATACACAATATGTTCTTGCTGTATCTTATCGAGTACGGTTACCGCAATTTTTGCCAGGCTGCACCAGCCATCTATAAATTGCACACCACCGGCATATGCGGCGAGACACTCGTTGGCCCGAACAAAGACACTGAGTCGCTCTCGAATTTCCTTCTGAGAAAGAGATCGTTTGTTGTTTAATTGACTCTCCTTCTGAAATGCTTCATAAAGCAGAGGAATCGAATACTGCGGGGTGCTATCATTAGCACGGAAGATGTAACCCTCAGCCCCGCCAGGAGCCACACAATTCGTTGGAAACAATGGGAGAGATTTTAAACAGAATGACGGCCACTGCGCAAAATCCACAGTCACACTCTGGTCATGGCCAGCAATGACACCTGGTGAAACATATTCCTCTGATTTCAATGACATCGACGGGGGTGAAACATGCAGCAGCAAAAAGAGGACTTCCAACAAACTGGAATTGGGTGTCGAATGCAGAGAAACATGCAATTCTTCTGGTTTCTTTGTTCCAATGCTAAAGACATCAAGCGCCAACAGCTTCATGACAAATGCATATTTGTTCAGTACGAGCGGGGAGCATTGATCCGGGCGTAACGTTTGTAAAAAATAAAACATCTCTTCATTTCCACTTCGTCTCATTAGACGCTGAAGGCTAGGGGTGCTAAGAGACGGATTGGCGCGAAGAAGATACACGAGCTTTACATATTTCACAGCAATGTGTGGATATGCCACCTCAACTTCTCGACTGTTGGCTCCCACAATTACGGGTTCGAGGCAGTAGCCGGCCAACAACTCCTCTGAGGAACCATACAACGGATAGCCGCAGAGCCAAGAGGTGATGGAGGTCTGAGGGGCTCTTGCATTCTGGATAAGAAGATCTAAAATGAGGGATTTTGTTTCCACCTCGGCATGGGGCAGCATCAGCTGCACCTCATCGTGGTCCAAAACGGCAAGTGCAGGCGGGACGTGGATGATGGGACTACTGACAGCTTCCAGACGCAGTGCCGTTACAAACGGTGTAATGACGGCCTCCAGAGCGTCTGGTCGAATAAACCAATGGCGTGCCGCCTGACTGAGAGTAGGCTGCGGAATCAACAAGAGAAGTTGAAGCGCCTTCCTGGCAAGAAGACTGTCAACACTGGCACTCAACGGAAGTAATTGAACAGCGAGCTCCGTGTTGCTTGCGGTTCTGGCATCGAAGGTAAAGAGACTGTCTAGACCTTCCTCCTCCTTCACTGTAATTGCCGTCTTTAACAAGATAAGGCATTGGCGCACCGCCGCACGTTGATGATTCAGCAATTCATTAGGGGCCGTTGAGGCTTCAGAAATAATTTGCAACGCTTCACCCAACACATCCGCAGGCGCTTTTGAACAGGCCATGACAACCGTAAAGGGAACCATGCTATTGCTTCCACTGTAGGCGAGTTGTAGAGACAACACGCGATTCAACGCCGCTGCGGCCAAAGCAGCCACAGTATAGCGTTCGTCTGCCGATGAAAAAAAACGACGCAGGAC